ATGCTTATGGAAAGGAAACCTAGAGACGACGACACAGTGCATCTCCCAAGGAAAGTCAGCAAAGTATGCTTATGGAAAGGAAATCTAGAACGACGACACAGTGCATCTCCCAAGGAAAGTCAGCAAAGTATGCTTATGGAAAGGAAATCTAGAGACGACGAACACAGTGCATCTCCCAAGGAAAGTCAGAAAAGTATGCTTATGGAAAGGAAATCTAGAGACGACGACACAGTGCATCTCCCAAGGAAAGTCAGAAAGTATGCTTATGGAAAGGAAACCTAGAGACGACGACACAGTGCATCTCCCAAGGAAAGTCAGAAAAGTATGCTTATGGAAAGGAAATCTAGAGACGACGACACAGTGCATCTCCAAGGAAAGTCAGAAAAGTATGCTTATGGAAAGGAAATCTAGAGACGACGACACAGTGCATCTCCAAGGAAAGTCAGAAAAGTATGCTTATGGAAAGGAAATCTAGAGACGACGACGACACAGTGCATCTCCCAAGGAAAGTCAGAAAAGTTGCTTATGGAAAGGAAATCTAGAGACGACGACACAGTGCATCTCCCAAGGAAAGTCAGAAAAGTATGCTTATGGAAAGGAAATCTAGAGACGACGACACAGTGCATCTCCCAAGGAAAGTCAGTAAAGTGTGCTTATGGAAAGGAAATCTAGAGACGACGATACAGTGCATCTCATCGAGGAAAGTCAGCAAAGTGTGCTTATAGAAAGGAAATCTAGAGACGACGATACAGTGCATCTCATCGAGGAAAGTCAGCAAAGTGTGCTTATGGAAAGGAAATCTAGAGACGACGATACAGTGCATCTCCCAAGGAAAGTCAGCAAAGTGTGCTTATGGAAAGGAAATCTAGAGACGACGATACAGTGCATCTCCCGAGGAAAGTCAGCAAAGTGTGCTTATGGAAAAGAAATCTAGAGACGACGATACATTGCATCTCCCAAGGAAAGTCAGCAAAGTGTGCTCCTAGAGACGACGTGCATCTCCCAAGGAAAGTCAGCAAAGTGTGCTTATGGAAAGGAAATCTAGAGACGACGAGTGCATCTTCAGCCTAGAGACGACGATACTGCATCTCCCGAGGAAAGTCAGCAAAGTGTGCTTATGGAAAGGAAATCTAGAGACGACGATACAGTGCATCTCCCAAGGAAAGTCAGCAAAGTGTGCTTATGGAAAGGAAATCTAGAGACGACGACACAGTGCATCTCCCGAGGAAAGTCAGCAAAGTGTGCTTATGGAAAGGAAATCTTCATTATGGACGACGCAGAGTCTTAGTCGATCCCCGAAGCATCGATCTCCACAAGAAACAGTCCTTTCCATAACTTTGTGTTATTACATGAACATTATGAGACGGAGTTTATGGCTTCTCTCCTCTGGAAAATGGAGGTCTTAGGGTTTCATTGTCTTACCCCAAAGGCAGACTATTCTTTTTTTACGGCTCTCCCACAAGCCAATTAAGATGGGGGATCCGGGCATTTGGTAAGTCCACAAAACGATGGAATTATTCATGTCCATAACCGCCTCCAGCTGTTTGGTCCATAATACCTCTCAGAATTAATCATAAATAACTTGATTCTAATAATAATTCACCATTCAATACCCCAAAATTATTTGCTCTAATCTGGTTATATTTGCATCATCAATAAACAACTAACAATATAAACAAAATTCTTTCCTATTCAAAGTTGAATTGATATTGACGCTATAATGACTAAATTAGCATCCACATACCAAGCATGTGGTATGACCCCAAACCAGAAAAAACATAATAGTAATAATTCTTCAGATTCTTTATCAGTACTAAAATACTCGTTCAAGAAACCCTTCCAATGATCTGCCAGCTATTAATTTTCTTCAGAGTTACATAAAGCAGTCGTTAGAGTTGATCAGACACTGAATATTGCTTGAAATTCGACTTAATGTATGAATTAAGTATTAGACTAGTTTTTTTTTTTTTTTTCTTTTCATCTGTGCATCATATTCATTTTTCTGTTTTTCATTTGTAAACAGAAGCACTTGTTTTCATTATCTATGTTATCATTTAATATTACAGAGTTATACTAACCTCATTTATCACGTGAAGAACATAAGTAATATCATAGTTATGACGAATACTAATATCTAATCAGTACTATCGTTATCATGATTGTGATTTGTGTTATTATCATCTTTATTGCCCTTACTATCAGTAGTTACGGTATAACAATCATCACTCTCAGATTAACGGTTAATGGATAAAGTATATTGACAGTTATAACCGCATCTCCACTTCCTCACGACGGCCAATAAGCCTTTCTTTACAACGCATCCATTACGTCACGTAAACCATCAACTTTTCACGTGATAATGTCCGCCTTCCCTCCTCCCTCCCCCCCCCCCCCCACCCCCTCCTCGACCCCTTCTCTCGCTCTGGTTATTTGCTTTCAAACTTCTAGTCTATATACTAGCACTCTGGCCCCTCCCCCCCCCCCCCCCTCCCGCGGCGCTCAGATATGGCCGCTCTCCAAAATGTAGAGAACTCGGGAAATCGTGAAAATTGGAGGAGCGGGGGACGTGTATCAGCTACTTGGCGATTCCTGCGTCGCCCTTTATGAGCTCTGATAAAAAGTTAGGAAATTATATTTTGGTACGGCGCAAATTTTTACCAGACCAAATTTTAACGGCGGGGAATATGCAGTTGCTTCTGAATACAATTATGCTAATCGTTCACAAATTACACTTGCCACAAGATTGAGGCACCCATCTGGCGGCCCCGCAGCCGGGGGACGCGAGCTAAAAACATTCTAAATGGCGGGCAAAATTCTCCCGCCAAAAATTTGTGAGAACATCTCCTTTTCCCCGCTATCATTCCGGTTATTTTCTTGAGCACGGAGGAAGCTGCCCACGATCTCGGCTCACCAAGATTTTCACAAGTTTTTGGTTCTTTCCACGACTCATCGCGCGCGTGTCATTTCTTTTGGCGGAGGCGGAGGAGGGAGCCGAGGGGGAGTGATTAAATCCCCGCCGCCCTTCCGCCTTTACACGCCGGATCCCTCAGCCAAACCGGACGGGAAGGAGGCCGGTCGTGGATCTCATCATTTCATCTCGGATCGCACACTCGGCCAGAGGATGGTCCGAGAGCTTTGGTAAACGGTCTTGGGAGATGTCCCCCTCCTTGGCCTGATAATATGCTAACATATGCAGAATTCAGGCAGCAAAATTGGCTAGCCTCCAACCCGGCGCTGGCCGAGCTGGTATCAGGGAGACTGAATATAAAGCTCCAGTTTGGGGTATCGTATATGTATCTAAACTCGACTTTAATTCTTATGTTGTCGTGAGAGCCGGCCATTATCTTGATCTGCAAAAGGTACAGTGACATATCGCTCCGCCTGACATTAGGATTCATCGTCCGTTAATGAGGCAAGAAGGCCGGATTGCGGTCCTTTGTTCGTCTCTCATTCCCGCCTTCTTCCCTCTTTCGTGACATTTGCTTGCGTTCGTTCTCGTCGCTTCTTGCTTCCTTGGCGTGTCTATGTTTCTTTTGTTCGCTCCAGCTGTGTTTATGCTGTTTTTCAGCGTGTTTATTTCCGTTTCTTTCCCTTTGTCGTTTATGCTTTCATACTTTCTAATGTTTACGTTAAGTTCCCACCTCTCTCTCTCTCTCTCTCTCTCTCTCTCTCTCTCTCTCTCTCTCTCTCTCTCTCTCTCTCTCTCTCTCTCTCTCTCTCTCTCTCTCTCTCTCTCTTCCCTTGTAGATAGAAACGTAGACCCAGATATATAGATAGACACATGAATGGACACACGTATCTATCTTTCAGACTACCTCTTCCTCCTCCTCTCTCTCTCTACGTCTCCTATCTATTATCCTCCTCCGTCTCTCCCTCTTTCATCACTCTACCCCACCTCCCGCCCTCCCTCGCGGTCGCCTAACTACCTCGCTCCATCACCTAACAACCATTGGGCCATCAAGAGCCCCGGGACTGTCCATCTTTAAGGGTCTCTATGGATCGTCGCATCATTGGGTCATTTTTACGGTTGTTGATTCATTACGGCCCAATTACAGATAATGGGTCGTTATCTGTTGGCTTGAATGGGGGAGGGGAGGGTTGGGGAGGGAAGGGTGGGTTGGGGAGGGAAGGGTGGGGAGAGGAGGGAGGGTGGAGGGCGGGGATATGGGAAGTGGGAGGAGGGGGAAGGGGTGTGCGGGGATGAGATAGGGTGGAAGGAGAGGAAGAGGGAGGGGAGGGGGGCGTGAAATGGGGAGTGGAGAGAGGGGAATGGGTGGAAAAGGATCAGACGAGGAGGAAGAGAGGAAGGATAAGTGGATGGGTAGGGGGGCGGGGTAAGGGGTGTTAGGGGAAGAGGGGTGAAATGGGGAAGCTTAGGAGTGGGGGGGTTCTAAAGTGGCCTGTGATGCGAAGATGAACGAAGAAGGAGATAAGGAAGAACGAAGGGAAAGCGACGGAGACGAAGCTGCAAGGAAAAGAGATAGGATGGAATAAAACCAAGATGGAAAATTAGATAAAAAATATAACGAGAGGCAAAACAAAAGAGGAACTGATAACAGGAACAAAAAAAACACAAGAACAGATCAGTAAAATAGATAGAATAGAAGCTAAAATAAGAAAAAAGAAGAAGACAACGTTGTAAAATTGCAGGAGGGAACATTGTTTACTCCAATTGGTCCTGAAGACAAGGAGTGCTCCAGCTGGCACAGAGGGGGAGGGGGGAGGGATAGGAGGGAGAGAGGGACTGGCCTTCTGGGGAGGGAGGGGGGAGGGGGTGTTGATATTTATTTCATTTAATATCCCCGAAATGCAAGGTAGATTGCATATGGTCAATTTTGCCATGGAGAGAAATAGCGGATGCGCAGGAATACACAAACATACGATTGGTTCTATATATACAGACACATAGTGCGTGTCTGTATGTGTATGTGTGTGTATGTGTGTGTCTGTGAGTGTGGGTGTGGGTGTTTTGTTATTGTCGTTGTTTGTGCGTGTGTTTATTATGTATGTGTATGTGTTAGTATTAGAACTTGTATACATTAGCCCTTCGAGTCTCTCACTGAGACAAACTACTTACACCAATAATAAATAAATGAATAAACATTGCCAACTGTATCTGAACAAAACATCACACCCGCTTACACCAATACAAAAAAAAAAAAAAAAAAAAAAAAAAAAAAAACTTTGCCAACTGTATCTCAACAAAACATCACACCCACTTACACCAATACAAAAAAATAAAATAAAAAAAAACTTTGCCAACTGTATGTCAACAAAACATCACACATCCTTGAGGCAAGAACATGCTCAACCTCAGCTATCGTCGATTCCAAAGCGATATCAAACTACGCCCATATTCGTCACGTGATCGGTAGGTAATAAAACGTATCTGATAAAGCAAAGGATAGAAGATAGTGATAAATAGATATTCAATTATCATGGAGTAGAAATTGAGAATTTACTAATGATTGATAG